GGTACTCTGCTTCCTCCTGTGTCCCTTTGTGCGTGTACCACCCGTGTTCCATACTCCATCCTTGTCTACCCTGTCAGTTCCCCGCTTGACAGGGTTGCGTTGATGGCACCTAACAGAGTTGTTAGGTGTTGTGTGTGTTGCTTGGACACCTTGCATGTGTCTTACGGTGATTTTACTTTGTCCGTGTATCTTGTGCTTAGTTGTACTGTGGGGTACTGCCCTGCATTTCTGTGCTTTTTGTTTAGTTTTTCGGCACCTGGGCCTTTTCCCTATATCTGGACACTCCTTCCTTACCTATCTTCGGTGCCTGACTGCACCCTGATATCCATGGTGTCCCTCTGTGTATGTGCGACTTCCCGCAACACACGTTGTAGTTGGTCGTGTGCATTGCGTTACTGGCTGCTACTTGGTCCGTATTATGTTTTTTCCTTGTCTATTTCCATTTTTCCTCCCTCTATGCTCCTCAGGGCTGGGTATCTGGCTCGGTGCTTATTAGCTGTTCTGATGTTAGGTGCTGGGGTGGGCCTCTGTCCATGTTCCGTTCCCTGCTTTTGGCCTACCCCGGTGTTCAGTTTTGGAACCGAGTTCCTTCACTTTTGCCTTGCATCTCATTGCAGGCTTCTGCGTTATATGGTTTGCGGGGGGCTGTGGATTTCTGGTCAACCGCTCCTGCCCTGCTGGTTCCTTTTCTTGGGACAGGTAGCTAGGATTCTGGTCCTGGCTCCGGCTTTCATTTGTTCCTTTTCTGGAACATAGGTTTTTGTTTTCCTGCGGTTCACGTCCTGCGTAGTTCTTCTCATGTTTACCTCGGAGACGCATGCTTCGTTCTTCCCTGCTGGAGCTAGTTGTGCTGCTCCTTTGGGTTGCAGGGTCACTGTGTTTCGTTTCGCGTCTCATGCTTTGGTTCGTGGTGCTCGTTTTTCTCGTTGGTCTCTGCCTGGGCCCAGGCTCCTCGGTGTTTGGCCTTGTTGGACCTTCAGAGGTCCTGGGGGGAGGGGGGAAGGGTTCCTCCCAGACAGGGCGTGTCTGCTCGCTCGGGTTGGTTCCTTTTCAGGCCGCCAAGGTTGAGTTCCTGTTTCCCTGGTGGCTGTTCCTTCTGGTTTTTGCCTGCCTTGGCAAAAACTGCTGCTTTACTCAGTTCCAATCCTGTGGGGTTTCCCTCGGCTCTGCCTCTTTTTGCGGATTGGTCCAGCTCTGTATGAGGCTGGTTCATTCTTCCCCTCGAGTCTTCGCGTCTCGGGTTTTTGTCTCTAGTTTCTCGTCGCTTGTGTGGGCACTGGTGGCTTCGTTGTTGGTTTCCCACCTGCGTGCTTTGTCTTGGCGGCGGTGTGTAGTTTCCTGGCGGTCCTTCCGGTTTTCCTATCACTGCGAAGGGTCCTTTGGTGTCCGATAGGGTTGTCTTGTCTTTCCCTTCGGGGTTGTTCCAGGGCCGTCGTCTGGTACCGTGTACTGTCGCCTCGTCTAGGGGTGGTGCTGGCGGAGCTGCTCCAGCTTGCTTTCAGTGTTGCTGTTCCTTCTGCTTCATTCCGCTTGCTGTCTTGGGCGTTGTTTCACCTCAGGCCTGCTCTTGCTTTTCCGGTGCCGTCCTGGTTGTTGGCCCAGGTGGTCTGTTTTCTTTCTTCTCGGTTTGGTCCTTGGGTTGCTGCTTGCTTGGTCAAGCCGGGGGTGCTTCCTTTGTTGTTCAGTTGCAGCGCTTCGCTGTTCTCTGTGCATCTTGGCCTCTGGGGTCGTGGAGACGTTTTGGTTTGCCCGGGTTCCTTTCTTCCCTCATTCCTGTTATTGGGTGCGGGTCTCCTGGGTTGTCTGCAGGGTTTTATAGTTTCATCTGTGGTCTTGTTTTTTAGGTTAGGGTGCGTGGCGTCCGCCTCCCAGATCCTTCCCTCTTTTCCTTATCTGTGGTGAGGCAGCTCCGGGGAGCCAACGTGGCTCCCCCCCAGAAAACCAGCGTTGAATGTAATGAAACGCCATTTTCTGGGTGAGTCCCGGTGGCTCCCCGGCATCCCTCTCTACCTATTGTTGGATATTTCCAACATCGAATACAGCATGGTTGTATTCTCATTACTTATTACTAACCATACTTAATATTGTAGTAAGTAAAAATTAACAACTCGTAGAATTCTCATGTACTAATAATTCATCTGTGCATTAGGCTAGAATTCTCACGTCACCTGACGCCAGTATTGCGTCAGATTTCTTTACAGTAAAACACATTATATTCAATTTGTGTGAGAATTAAATACGATTCTCCATAATTAAAGCATTCTGTATGACAACTGATTGCAGACGAATTGTTCTCTAACTAAAAGCCGAATAGAGCGTTAGAATCATAGCGTCTACCTCGCGATAGTGTTAACGTCATCAATGAATGCCATGGGGAGACATTAATTCCTCTCCCTTATATATTTACTGTTCTTAAATAGTTAAATAATAATATTTCGTTCCTCTAAATAATAAACCCGTCCAGTCTTTAGAGTTTCAAGCGCGAATGCGAGAAATATTAATGTTCAAGACAATAATTTGTGTTATGAACGTCGACTCGGCGTGGGTTGGAGGGACACCATCCCCCACAGTCGGTACGCGGACACGTGCAGAGCCGGAAGGAAGCAGAACTGTGCTTACCGTACTCATAAAGGACGCCATTGCCCAGCAAATCGGGCAGGTGTTATTCATCTTCAGATGAAAGCCGCCACTGTGAGGCGTGAACGACCTTGCAGATAATATCTTCAACTAGTGCTGGTGTTAAATGAGGGACCCCTAGACTTGGTTCCTGACGACACGTGATCAGCCAGCTTGAAACGCATCAATCCAGGATAGGTTCACCGGAGCCTGGGATGCGTAATTACGGCAATCTTAATACTTATACAGTGCCCACAGCTAAGTACCCTTTATTTGATGCATCATTTACAGGTTTAATAATAGCGGGGTGATTGTTCGTCACGCGGCGAGATAACACCTAATAACAGGTGATTAGAATTCCATCTGTAGATATCAATAATCTTGAATATGAATTGAGTAGTTAAATCAATTGCTACTGGTAGTTATTTATCTTGCAGCTCGAGAGACGGATTCCTCATGCTGTCTTCTCCATGTTAACCGTGCCATTCGTCAGTGTACCAGACTTGGAGATTAAGAGGACTTCCAGGGTTATCTAAAGGAACCTACTACAAGCTAAGGCTTATTTCTTTTTTATCCATATTCTTGCAATTTGATACATTCAGAATGTTTAATATTAATGTGTGATTTACTGTAACTCATTACTATGCTCATATTCATGTTCTTCTTTATATGAACAATATTATATTCAGCATTATTTATAGGATTAGATTATTATTAATTGGATTAGTGAACGAACCACACTGATTCCTGGACGTACTTACCTCCAGCAATAACCCCCCAATATAGGTGTTTGAGGTTTGTTTCTTTAATAATACAGCCCATTAATTATATTCATGATCATACTTTCTAGTCATATCCATAGTCACTGGTTTTCTCTAGAATTTATCTAATGATCTGAAATTCTCAGTTTCCCTCTTTACTTTAAAAGCGGGTGGTCCTTCGTAATTTAATTTACTACTTTAATTATTAATTAATCAGAATCAAGCCCAAATATCCCACACCTATGGTCGGCGGTGTTTTTTGCATGTTTTGACATCCAGCCTATGAACTGCTGATTGGATCGCCGGAGCAGATGGTCTGGGTTGGTTGAGGGTTGCGCAGACTGCGGCGTGGCGACGTGATGACATCATGCTAGTTTGATAATTTTGTTTGGCGAGTTCTGTCCACTCGTTCGGCTTTTGGTAGCAATATTTTGACCAGAGTAGGGATTTGTTTTGGGGCACCTACCTTTCTGGATGCCTGTTCTGGTCGATGGCAGACATAGAAGGCTCCCAACCACAGGGGGGTTTCTATAGGCCATTGCTCCTCGTGCCTCTCTGAGAGGGCCAGACAACACATGATGCACCCCTCATGCACAGCCTCCATGACCGAGGATGTGCTTTGGGTTGACCCGGTTTCCCTTCTTCCATGTTTCAGGGCTCGGGTCTTCCAAGCTGTCCGCAGAGTTATTCAATCCAGCCAGCCTGGGGTTTATCCTCGTGCCCACGACGTTCATAAGTTTGCTGCGCTTGCTGCCGTCTTTGGTAACAGGTCTTGAGCTGACATTCAGACATGTGGTTTTTGAAGGCCGAACAGTGTCCTGGCCAATCTACCTTGTCATTGTGGGGCCTGGTTGGGCCTGTGTTGCATTGGGTCGGTGGTTGCAGCCAGTTGTCTCGACTTTGCGTTGAGGGGGCGAGTGCCGACCACCTCCCAGATAAGTCCCTCTTGTTTTGTCTTTTGGTAAGTAGCTCCAGGAAGCCGAAGGAGTTCCCCCAGAAAACCAGCGTTGAATGTAATGAAATGCCATTTTCTGTATGAGACCCGGAGGCTCCCTGGCATCCCTCCCTCTCTCTGGTCGGCAGTTTTTCTTTTTCTGGGTTTTTGACATCCAGCCTCAGAATTGCGGGGTGGATAGCCAGCGTGAGGGTCTGGGGCTTCCCCTTGCCCCTCCCGGAGAGGGGGGGGGGGGTTGTGCAGACAGTGACGTGGTTACACTATACTCGTTTACTCGTTTTCATTTGAGGAGTTCTGTTTACTAGTTCGGCTTTCAGTAGCAATATTTTAACCAGAATAGGAGTTTGTTTTGGGTCGCTTATCTTTCTGGGTGCCTGACCCGGTCGATGGCAGACATGGAAAGCTTGCAACCACACAGGGGTTTCCATAGGCCATTGCTCCTCTTGCCTCTTTGAGGGGGCCAGGTTTTGGCTCGTGGTCCCCGGTAGGCCTAAGAACTCCATTCACATGACTGATGCGAAAGTCTGTTATATCCATATAAGCCTGGATAGCTCTGGGGAGCCTCTTGGTCTCACCCAGAAACTGCCGTTTCATTATATTCAACGCTGTTTTGTATGTGTTACTGTGGAATACATTTTATTATTTTATATACTGTATATGTTTCTTAGGTGGAGCGGTATGACCCAACAACAGGTCAGTGGACACCTGTTACTCCAATGCTAAGCAAACGCTGTCGTCTTGGTGCAGCTACACTGGATGGAAAGTTATATGTGTGTGGAGGATATGATGGCTCAACCTTCTTAAGAACTGTAGAAGTGTATGATCCCATCACAAGCAGGTAATCTGTTAATCTAGTTCTTCTATTTTGTAATTTAAATGTAAAATATTACAGCTAAATTTAATTTGTAGAATCTCTGGCAATATTGTCAGAGTATACAGAGTTGAGAGTGTACTTTATTTAAAATGTTTTCTTCAATTAATTGTACTGTTCTCTCACCTTTGTGTTTCTCTTCATTGCTCTTAGCACTGTATGCTTTATTCAGCTATCCAGACTAATATTGCTAATGTCAGACTTTGGCATCAGTCATGTGTGTGGAGTTCTTAGGCCTACCGGGGATCATGAGCCAGAACCTGGCCCCCTCAGAGTGGCATGAATAGCAATGGTTATAGAAACCCCCATGTGGTTGGGAGCATTCTGTCTGCCATCGACCGGGTCAGGCACCCAGAAAGGTAAGCATCCCAAAACAAACCCCTATTCTGGTTAAGAAATTGCTACTGAGAGCCGAACTAGTGGACAGAACTCCCAAAATAAAAACGAGCTAATGAGCATGATGTCACTGCGCCGCCGTCTGCGCAGCTTTCCCCCTCCCCAGGAGGGGGAAGGGAGAGCCCCAGACCCCTCATGCCGGCAACCCAAAACCACAGTTCTGAGAAGTCGTGTGCTCTGGCTCCAGTCTTGGTCTCTGCTCTGTGTCCTGTGGCGTGTTTGCTGTCTTATAAGGGGTCTGTGAGCCAGGAGTGATTCTTCAGTACACGGGCTGCATGCACCTAGGGTTCCATTCCCTAGGTGCCCAGTAAGTACTGCCACCTTCCTCAGGTTCCTTGGGTTCTGTCTCAACTTGGCCATTTACTAATCGGTTTTTGGCCGCCCTGTGTGTGCTAGGGTGTTCTGTCTCCCTTGTTTGGCTTCGGGTAGGGGGCAGTTTGCACTGGTATGGGCGCAGGGTACTGCGAAGCTTGTTTTCACCAATCATAGCGGTCGGCTCTGTTCTGCCTGGGTACGCTGTCCTCTTGCCGGGGGTTTTCTTTTTCTTTTTGTTTGTCTGCCTGGTCGGGGATGTCTGCCTTGGTTATTGCCCCCTGTGTACTGAGTACTCTTTATTCCGGTGGTGCCCCCTGCTTGGTCCCCCGTGAGTGTTCACGTCCCCGGAGTTCAGTTTTTAGAAAGTTGTTGGGTAGACTTTTGCGCCAGTACCCTGCCCGGGCTTCCTTGAGCGTGAGTTCCGTCTCAGGACCCTGGGAAACCCCACAGGGGCATGTGGGTCCGATAGATGTGACCCCTGATATCCCCCCCTCGCTTTGTGCGAGTTCGAGGGTTGCTCGGTTCCCTTGTCTCAGGGTGGCTCTCACTGTTTTTGCCTCTGCTGCCTGTGGGGTCGGTGGCACCTTCGATCCGGAGTCCTATGCGGGTGCAGGCAGCATGGGTGTTGCACATTGAGTTTAGTTAAGTCCTTGCAACGTGCTAGGTTGTTTGCTCCCCGGGAGCCCCGAGGCTGCTCCGTTGTTTGGTTGTTGTGACGGGGCTTGGGGGTTGTTGGTTGCTTCGGTTTTGTTTCCGTCTGCGCCCCCCCTTGTCTTTCCCCTGTTGTGATTTTGCCTGTTCCCCCTCCCCTTCCCTCCCTTCCCCTTCCTTTTCCTCCCTGCATCTGGATCCTTACCGTCTGTGGGTTCGGGGTCGGGGCGGGGCTTTAATGGTCCTGAGACTTGGGTGGTCTTGGGGATTTCCCCTTCCAGGGTAGCGATGGAGGCTTTCGAGCCTGTTCCTCCAGCCGTGTTGTATGAGTCTACCAGTGGGCTCCCTTCCTTAGGGATTTTCTGGCTGCCCAGGCCTTTTCTTGTGGGGCTGGGGCTTTGGGGGGATGGCTCGGCCCCGGGGCCTGCCGTGTTGGTTCCCGGGGCTGGAGAGGGGCTGACTTGGAGGCCCTCGGGCCCCGTTGGACCCCGCTGGGGTTTTCTATCCTCTGAGCGAGTCTTGCGGGTTACGGGGAGTGGGGGTTTTCCTTTCCCCCCTCTGCGTATGAGTCGTTGAGCATCGGCCCCTCCCTGAGTTCGCTTCCTTGTCACTTTGGGTCCGTTGGTTTCGTCCTATCGGTGGGTACTCTTCTCCATTTCCCTCACCCTTCTTCTCTGGGACGGGACTTCTCCGTCATGTCGGGATCCTGTTCCCCTCTTCTCGGGGTTCTACATGACGTTTGGTTTCAGGTGCGACTGTGCCTTTATGAGCCTTCGGGATTTTGTGCTTGCTTCTGTGGGTTCTCAAAGGTTCGGGAAGGTCTTCGCTTCTTCCCGTATTACTGTATTGGGACATCTGTCGTCTTCCGGTAAGGCTTCCCTCCGGTCCTTTCTAGGGCTCGGTGGTCCTCTTCCGTGCTTCTTCTTGGTTTTCAGTACTGTCTCGTTCTTTTGTAATTATATTTTCTCTATGTGCTCTGTCTCGGCACTGCTCATTTTCCTTAAATACTCCTAGTTGGCGCCTTTCCTCGCCAGGCAAGTTGAGTGGCTAGGATCTCATGCATCCTGCGCATGCGCCATGGGAGTTTTTGTTATGGACGGTGTACACAAGTGTTGATGTTCTGCATCCTTTTTCTCTCGGGTGCTTCGCCTCTCACTCCTCTCATCTCACCAGTCCATGCCCCGTAGATACTGGGGGTGTTCTGAATTACCAAAATGGGGAGGATGCCTTGTTTTCTCTGCGTACGGGTGAGGGGTGCCGCATTCACCTCTACCCTACTCTCCTCTGCATGTGCGGCTCTGGCCTTCTTCCTCTGGCGGTGCTCCCAGAATATTCTCGGCTCCGATGTGTCGTGACGCATTCGTGCCTACGCTCTGCAGGTGAGTTTCTGCGGTCGGACGTCTCTTTTGGCCATGCGCTGGTTTGTGGTTTTTGGATAAGAACATAAGAACACAGATAACTGCAGAAGGCCTATTGGCCCATATGAGGCAGCTCCTCTTTATACCCACCCAATCCCACTCTTAAACATGTCCAACCCATGCTTGAATCCCTCAAGCATTTTGCTGCAGTTTTGATACTGAGGATGTGTGTTGGGGATTGGTTGTGGCGTTTTGCTTGGCCCTTGCATGCTTCTTCTTGGGGCCTTCCTTGTTCATCTGTGTTATTTGTTACATGGTGGGGCACGGCCCCGTTTTTTGTGGTCTTTGCTCACTCATTCCTTGCCCGTCTTGCAGTGCCTGGCTTAACCCTTTCATATGCATTAGATTCTCTGTACTCACCTAGTTGTCCTCACCTAGTTGTGCTTGTAGAGGTTGAGCTTTGGTTCTTTGGTCCCACCTCTCAACTGTCCATCACCTGACATCTACATGACCCTGTGTGTTGTTGGTCATGTCCCTTTCGTTCCCGTTTGCTGCCTGTCTATCTCGTTCCTCAACTTTCTTCTACACTCTTGTCCCTAGCCGCTGGTGTTTGGTTCTTTCCCGGCTTGCCGGGTTTGGGTTCCTGGTTTCCTGGCTTACCCTACCGAACCGCAGTGTTTCCAATCTCCTGCCGAGCTTGCTGGCATTGGGAAGTTTTCTGTTCGGCAGACATTCCATCTCATTCCTTGCCGGCTTAGGTTTCCGGCTCTGCTTGCTTGGTGATCGCACCCAGGATTTTCCCACGGCTCTGCCTCTAACTATGCTCGATCGGTCCATGATGGGGCTGGTTCGATTCTGCCTCGAGTCACTCACTATCTGTTGGTGGTCAGGTGGCTTAGTTGATAGTGTCCCACCTGCGTGCTTCATCTTGGCAGTGGTGTGGGGCTTCCTTTTTCTTTCTGTCCCTTCGTAGGTTTGCTGCATTTTGTTGGCGTGGTCTTGTCCTCTTTTGTGGAGGTTCAGGGCCGTCATCTTGCCACATATTGTCGCCTTGTCTCATGCGGCGCTGGCAGAGCCGTTTTGTGTTGCTTCGGTTTTGGAGTTGCCTCTCCACCACTTCGCGAGCCGTCTCTGGTGAGGTTCACTTCCGGCCAGCTCTTGCCCCGCTTGAGTCGTCCCAGTTCTTCAATTGAGTGGTCTCTCTTCTCGGTTTGTTATGGCCCCTTCGGTTCTGGTTTGTTTTCCGAGGCTCTTTTCTTGTGGGCGTTGGCCTCTGGGGGTCAAGTTGGGGCGGGGTGCTTTATGCCCTCCTCCGGCGCCTGGGTTTTGGCTCTTTTGGTTCTCCTGATAGGTTTGTTCACTTGCAGCCGTCTCCTTCTTTTCTGGCGAAGACTGGCATGGCTGCTTTCCGGAGGAGCCCCTGGGTTGTTGATGCTTGGTTGGTCTGGCCGGGGGTGCAATTTGTGTTGTGTTCGGTTGCAGTACTTCGCGGTGCTTGGCGTGCCTCAGCTGCCATGACCGGGGTTACACTTTGAGTTATTCTGGAGTTCCCTTCTTCTCTGTTTTAGGGAGCAGTTCTCTCGGGTCGTCTGCGGGGTGGTTCAGGTTTGGCCAGCCTGCGGTCGGTCCCATGCCCAAGTCATTTGTAGGTTGGCTCTGCATTCCTTCGTTGATGTTCCTAGGCCTTGTCGGGCTTGTGTGGCCTTGGGTTGGCAGTTACAGTTTTGTCTCCGCTTCGCATTGGGGTGTGTGCAACTTCCACCTCCCAAGTTAGGTCTCTCTTGTTTTCGTCTTTGGGTTGGTAGCTCCGGGGAGCCGACGGGGCTCCCCCCAGAAAACCAGCGTTGAATATAATGAAATGCCATTTTCTGGGTGAGTCCCAGAGGCTCCCCGGCAACCCTCCCTCCCTCTTTTCTGTGGGGAGCCCCTACGGCTCCCTGGAGCTTATCGGGCTAATGTATGTTATGGTAGACCGGGACATTAGCTATGGAGTTCAGACCTACCAGGGACCAGCGCCAGAACCTGGCCCCTTCAGAGAGGTTTCAGGGAGCAATGGCCCTGGAAAACCCCATATGGTTGGGGGTTTTCCTTATCTGCCATCGACCGGGTTAGGCACCCAGAAAGGTAGGCGTAACAAAACAAACCCCACATGGTAAGAAACTACAACAAAAACCGAACAGAGAGGTAGAAAACTCCCTACAATCCCAAGGAAAACAATCAAACAATCAATTTACTGCCGCGCCGGTC